CACTACTTCGTAGTTTTCCAAATCAAAGACAGACCCCTCATGCTTGGAAACTCCACTTCTAGTAGTAGCAACAATACGAGTACTAGCAACGGTAATTGAAAGAGTACTAAAAACAGTAGCAGTCGTACTAGTGAATTCTTGTTGCTACTTTTATAGTACTACCCATGAACCTCTACGTAGGGGCTGCCCAATCATGACCCTAGACTCGTGGTTCGCCCAAATATTTCCAATCCCCTCACCCTCCCAGAACACTTATATTACTGTAACTTGTATACTAATGAAGGAAAGGACTGTACGAAATATTGCAGCAACCGCGCCTCAAAGACGAAGAACTTTGCAGAATTCTCTGTCAGCCTCGCAATCAAGGGGTCCAACGACTTTGCCTCAAGCACAAGATTGTTGAGCATGAAGCTGTTGATGCAATCCGGGTGTGATCTCGCGAAGTCCTTATTTGCTCAGCCTCCTAGAAGAGGCTGCAACAAAAAAACAAAGAATACACGTTTCGCATAAATGGGAGTTTCCCTAAATAGAGGGACCCCCAAAATAGATCCCAATATACTGTAATCTTTATCATGAGAACCCCTAAAAAAGTTACCCCTAATTTTGGGACACCCCAAATGTAGGGAGCATGAGGGCGCCCCGCATGTAGCTCTGCTCCCAGCCATCAAGGCTTCCCGATTGAGTAGTATTGTGCTGCTTAGAGTTTAGGGTTCAGGGTTTAGGGTATACCCGAAGAAACCAGAATCATACTCTACATTGAGGACGATTGTATCCTCGTTGAAATACCCCCCGCCTCCGCTGATATCACCCCCACCACGAGCTTAATATTCACCATATCTACAAAGTAACATACCACAATGGGAGTGTGGTGGGGGTTTTAAGTCATATCAGGGGGCAGGGGATTACTCAATTGGGCTCTTGAGAGTCTTGCTGGTGCTGGTTGAACTCGGGAATATCGTGCAGACTGGCGCGGTAGACCGAATCTTCAACCTAGGAGGGCAGTGTCCTTACCTCTTACATCTTAAAAAAAAAAAAGGCTATAGGGGATGCAGGGGATATACGGGCTATATGGGGATATATTGGGGGTTCTACGCGGTTCCATGGGGGTTGTATGGGGCTTACATGCTACCAGGCAAGGAAGTAATGAACCCGCTTTTGCAATCCTTATGTCGTAGATGGTAAAACCACAATGTAGAACCCAAAGTCAGGAGGCATCTCAAAGTAAGGGATCACTTGTTTTGAGGATTGAAGAAGGGTTCTGGCTGTGAACTGGGACCCCGATTTGACACACAGGTATCAAAGCAAAGCAAGCGCACGCTTTATGACGTCACTAGAGCCGCAGCAAAGCATTGGGAAGCTGAACCCTGCGGCATTTTCAAGACGATGACAAGGACTCCTAAAAAAAGGTATCACAATTTGAGAAAACTTCCAGTTCTGTGACGCGTCCTTTTTGCTGGCCTTGCAGCTGGAAGCTGTGGTAGGTGAGGTTTGCACAATTATCTTACTGGTAGTTAAGGGGCGGGTTACAGGAATGGATCCCTGCTTTGTCCCAAGACAATAATCCTGCAACATAATTCCTAAAACCACTAGTTTTCTATAAGCCATCCACAAGTTTCTTCAGCTTTTTTGGGCTCTGAGGCCCTAAGGCTTTCTGTAAACTCGTCTTTTAGGCTTGGGGCTTGGGCCCTAGAACACAGAGAAAGCATCCAACCACATTTGAGTTTGCATGCTTGGCATGTGTGTTTTGCTTTCCCATTGCGCTCACTGATAGGATTGTTGCAATTTCACCGGAAACGCAATCATATTTGACATCTTGTAATTCCTGTCCTGGGATCCAATGAAATTCACAAGCCGTGCCCATTACCACAAGTTTAAGCAAGTATATAAGGAACCTGAGATAAGGAAATACTAATACCAATGCACTGGCTTGTGCCTTTCATTCTTCCCTGTCCTAGATAAGTGATGATGTTCATGTGAAACCACCCGAGCCCGATTAAGAAACACACCGAGTTTGCACTTCGTTTGGAGCTTCTGCCCCAAGTATCTCCTGCCCTCCAGAGCAGACAGCTCGCCATTGAAACCAGGCGAAATAAGCCACAGAACTTAAGCTGAAAACCAACGTCCTGAGCTCGAGCTCCAAAACAGGAAGCTCATCTGCCAAATCCCAAATGGTGCCCGGCAGCAAAGTGAATCTGATGGGCTTTCCACTGCTCGGGGCCGTCATACGGCAAAGTAAGCCACTGGGCAGCAAGGCAGTCCTCTTCAAGCTGCTATTGCCATTATTGTTGCCATTACTGTTATTATTTTGATTGCTGTGGTTATGGTTGCAATTCTTATAACGATACTATTATCATTATTGTTCTTGTTATTCTTATTATCCAGCCGCCACGGGCGAAACACATGGCAGGTGGCAGTGGAGATACAACTTACAACGACGAAAACACTAACAGTGGGCCATGGACAGTAGCAGCAGGTGTAAGAAGCAGGGAAATGAGTGGTAAGTAGTAAGTCAGAAGCAGCGAGGCGCCACTGGAAAGCGAAAGTGCAGAAGTAGGAAGTAGCGAGTAACAAGTAGCAAGTAGTGAGAGGCCAGTGGTAACTTGAAAGTAAGAAGTGGCAAGTGGCAAGGAATATGTAGCGTGTCTAGTACATAGTAAGTAGTTTTCCAGCAAGTCATAAGTTGTACTCAAACCATGTAACGGCAGTAGTAGTGCTCAAAATTACACCCACGGTTGCAGTGCCGCGGGTCGCATTAATTGTGGTGGCGGTGGTGGTGCTGGTGGCGGCGCAAATGCCACGGATATAAAAAAAACACGGTCACCAAAATCGCATCACACCCCAACACCTGTTCATATGGTGGATGGTGGAGATCTTGCAACCGAAAGCGCCCCGCACCCCCCTTAACACGGGGACGAACACAGGTTGAGGTGATGCAAAATTATTTGTCCTGGCTGCCTTCATGCGACGTCACTACCAATACATAAAAAGAAAACGGGTGCGGGGCATTGGGTTTTAAGGGACCATTCAGGTGGTGCAAGATCTCCTCCATCAACAGTACCAAGCAGTCAAATGCTTGCGCTCAGGCTTCAAAATCTAAACGAAACTTGTTTAAAGGTGGGTACTTCAAGGACTGCAGGGAGACATAGAAAAGTGGTGGCCATAGTAAGAAAGGATAAGAAAGGTAACAATGGCAGTAATGACGATGATGGTAATAACGATAGCAACATGAGGATAATACATCTGATGTTAACAAGGCTAGCAGACTTGACAAAGTAGTTTCCGGGTCCACTCTGAGAATTCTGTAGAGGGCAGTTTGACAAAAAAAATCCAATGTTCTTCGGAAATGATACTTTTTCATGCCGCAAAATGAACGCCCAAAGGCCAAGTTCTCAAACCCTGCATTTGCCCAAACTCCGGCCAATGCTTGGAAACTGCATCTGGACTCGTATGCTTCTCAGAAAGCCTCTAGACCCTATATCGGAATTGCGTAGAGGTAGCGCTCACTAGTGCTACACTCCCTCACGTAAACGTTGAACACGAATGGGGCTAGAAATCATTGGTCTCCTCTTGGAGCTCCATGCTTCCGTACCCTGTAGAATATGTTATTAGGGGTTATATAGGGACAATGGAAAAGAAAATGGAAACTACTATAATGGGTTATATAGGGATTGTATAGGGGGTATATTGGGGTTATATTGGGGAGAATGGAAAAGACAATGGAAACTACTATAGTATAATAGGGTATATAGTGGGGTTATGGTCCCCCTTAAGTAGATAGTGTGTGAGAAGAGCTAAAGCAACCCAACGGTCCTTGCGTGCTGGCCACGGATATGGCTCACCTGGCAAGGCCACAAATGCAGGTTTCTTGAGTTGTAGAGGACTTTTGTACAGATTGCATAGAGAATTGGCACGGCTTCTGTGTGAGATGTACCGGGTAAACTGTACTTCTTCTCCGCTGTGCTTCGTTTCGTAACAATTTCGTCCATTCCTGCCCATCTTAGAGGGCCAGACCCTCAAGACCGTCTGGTTCATCTACTCCAAGAACTGAAGTAATTTATATAACCCAATCGGAACAGGAGAACTTGAAGGTCATGGTCAACACATGGTAACCAGCATAGACACAGAAAGACGTCCTATATCCTGAGCCACCTGCCTGTCCCCTACTGGGCTCTAAACTCTAAATCCTAGAACCCTAGAACCTTAAACCCTAAATGGTGTTTTCCAGTTTATTTTCCACTATCCCAATATAACCCCCAATACAACCCTAATGTTACCCCAATGAACCCAGCCTCAAGGACGAAAGGGATGGAGTCCAGTCCATAAAGGTACTTACTAATGCAAGGAAAGGTTCAACGAAAACCACAGCTGTAGTCCCTAAACCCTAAACCCCCTAGCCTGTAGGGTTAGGAATACTGTATGATGTCCCCGGAGCCCCCGATACTCAGATGGAGAAAAATCTGCCACGCATTCGGGAAGAATAAAGGTTCAAGAAGGCCAGCTACATCCGTAGCCCCACCCCCCCAAGCAACCGGGAAAGTAGAAGGCTGCCATGACGCTGGTTCCACATCAGGGTACATGGGTTTAGGGTTTAGGGTTTAGGGTTACAATCCGCATTGCGTTTTAGCAAAGTACTTTGACCTTCTAATTCTTTCTCCCAAAGCAGCGGCACATGCTCTATAGTCTAAACAAACTCCTGGTATCCCCCTTAATAACTCCTATAGTAGTCCACTATATAGCCCCATGTAAGGAGTTGAGACCCTAAACCTTGAGCCCTAAGCCCTAAATTGAATGTTCCATTTTATTTTCCATTTTGCCCAGACCCTAAACCCTAAACCCTAACCCCCCAATATACAGACCTCATTTGAACTAAAGTCTAAACTCCTAGTATCCCCCTTAATAAGCCCTATAGTAGTCCCCTATATAATCTCCTATATAATCCCCTATATAACCCCTTTAAGGAGTTTAGACAATGGTTCATTTAGCGCTGACTTCTGCCCAGCCTACATCTTTTTTGGCTCCTAGGATCCTTGCAGCAAAGTCTGCAGCATCCGAAGCATTAGCCACAGCAAAGGTGCTCCTTGCAACAGCTGGGTTGAACTAAACCCAGAACAAGGATCACAACCCTAAGTAGGTTTAAGTTAAGCAAACCTTACATTTAGGGTTTAGCTAAGCCTGGTTTGATTCAGGGTGAGTGGATCTGTGGGCGGCTAGAATTCCCAACATGGAGTGACACTACTTGTATTGCTTCACATTATTGAGTCGTTGAAGGTTGATATGTTCAGAACTCTTGAGATCTTCAAGCCTCAGTTGAGGGAGCAAGCAGCAAAGTATATTTGATCTGCAAAGAAACAGCACTTTGTAAGCAGTTCCCGAGTGTCAACATACATGAGACCTTTTGACATAAATGCATAACATTCCTGCAGAGTGACTCCCACAGCCCCTCTCCCCCCTGAGTGCATGCCCTCCACATCTCCGAAGGTAGCCCAACACTGAGATGCGCTCAAGCACTTGAAGGTTGTCTGGGCTCCTCAGAAATTAGAAGATCCTAAGCCATCATCAGCCTCCCCCTCCACATCTCAAGCCCTTTCTTAGCCTTCTGGCTCTTGTTAGTAGGGGGGCTACTACAGGGATCCCTTCCTCCGTTCCCTGCTAACAGCAGGCTAGGCCCGAAAAAGACCCGTACTTTTTGTACAGCAAGAACTTCTCCCCAAATTAGGGGTACCGTTAAAGGGGGATATATAGGGCAATATATAGGGGTATATAGGGATATATAGGTGTATATGTATATATACGTATATATATATATAGGCTGAGTATGTTTATCAATGCCAAGCAACAACAGCCACCCCGCAACTAGGCTAGGTACGGGCGGCCCTATCCAAGAATGAAAAGCCTTCTGGCTTTATAAGGATTGTGTAGGAATTCTACCCCTGTAAACCCAAAGCCCCCAGACTGCTACCGTGCAGCTTCCACCAGGCCTTCCTCCTTAGTTTGGAGTCGAAGGTTGCGATTTCGCGGATTAAAACAGAGCCCGAGAGTCCGGGGTTTCCGTAAGGCGTGTAGTGGTTCTTGGCGGCTTGCACCGTCTCGCGATTTCAGCTTGCTCAAAGACAACTAAAGACCAGTTCTGGAGAGGGAACTAGGAAATCCTACTCCACATCACGGCTGTGTGTCTGAACGCCGCTTCGCGACGTTCTGCTTCCGGCCGTCTGTGACATGACAAAATAATGTGAGCTTGCTGCATTTGCTTTGCCATTCGCCTTTCGCATGGCATGTGCATGTCTCAAGCGGGACAGCATTTTGCGCGGGGGATACAGAGACAACACTTTGACACATACCCTGGCCCTGTGTGGCGGGATGTGCAGCTCTGGGCCCGGGCCAAATTCAAAGCCAACTAAATTTGCACAGGGCCGTGCTGTAATCCATATCAACCCGTATTGAAAACACTCCTCGTTAGGCACCTGGACCTAGGCTTGCTGAGCTGTGGTTACAGCTGAAGCTGCTGGAGGGGGTCTCCAACTGAGCCTGCAAACGGTTTTTGTTCATGGTTTGTTCCATTCACAGCAATTCATGGCCTGAAACGGGTGCGCCGCAACAGAAGGGATAGGGGCGTCAATGGAAGTCTAACCAAAAAACTTGTAAGCCTTTCAAGAGACCTGTCCGACCTGAGCCTCTAAAACCTAAAGCCTTACCTTCATACATCCAACCCAAACCTGCAACCCGCTAATTCCCGAAGCCCCTGAGGAAGGTCAAAAGGAAGAACTTCTGACCACTGTTCCGACCAAACAAAGGCAGAGCCAATGAACCCTACTCCGCCGTCAGCGCATCCCCGAACCCTACACTCAACTCGAATTCAAACAGTTCCTTCAACATGGTTTTTATTCCACATAGGGTAGTTTCTAGAAATAAGGGGACCCCAACATAGACACATAGACACCAAAACATTGTAATCTTTACTATGGGATTCTCCAACAAGGTACTGGGAGGCCCCCCCTCTGGCACTCTAGCGCAGGCAAGCTTCAGGCCCCTGTAGAAATCCTTGCCGCGACAGGTATCTGGATCTTTGGATGACACACGGTCCAGAAAGGCCTTGGTGCAGGATTGCTACTACCAGGACCCTCCTTGTACCCTTAATTGGGGATATGGTCCCTAATAGTGGGTACTTAAGCCCTAATAGAGGGTAGGAGGAGGGTCAGGTAATTGTGGTGCTCGCGGTGGCCGTGGTGGGCGGTGCCAGTGGCGGTGGCAGAGTCGTATAGTGGCTGTGGTGCTTGTTGCGTTTCTTGGTGGTTGTGGGTATTCATGCTTCTCGTCATGCCGCGCCCCGTAGGAATAAAACGGTCAGTAGTAGCGGCAGCAGGACAAAGAGCAGCAAAAGCAAAAGCACCGATGCAGCTTGTAATTTAGAATTGTATGAAAACTGGAGAGTACAAGCAAAACATGTCTTCTCCGTGCTCTATCCAGCTTGAAACCTGGGTGTATTTCCATTGTACATGGTCGAAAAGTTATCGGGCTTGGACATTGCAGTAAATCTTCTAGCCATGTTTGCCCTTCTTTTCGTAGCACCTGAACCGTGCAGTGAACTTGGGCCAATCTGGAAACGGTTCTGAAAATTGAGGGACCGATGCCAACCAAAACGAGAAAAAGAACGCCACCAACGAACTGCCGGGACTCATAGTCCATGGGTGGAGCATCTTCCTCAGCTGTTTCACAAGTAATTAGGAAAAGGAAGCTCTAAGTTTATGACATATTCGCGCAGGGGAACAAGTATATACATAAACTCGTCGAGGACGCTAAGGCTTACGGGACGGTGGTGGCATTACGGCCTAGGGACAGGTCCTTATCTTGGACTTAAACATGGGCACCGTTACGCAGCTGGGCGGCATCCCCCGCCAGATATATCCACTCGAGAGTCCAGGTCGTGTTTGGAATATAGGCCCGCACAATTCTAGTGGGCCAAGCGGGGTCCGTCACTCCCTCTTCAACCATCTCCTGGACCACGCAGTTGGACCACGCAGTTCTATACAGATTGCCATGAGGACCCTTTTTTCTTGGACAAGAGCTTGTTCAAAACAACAGGAGGAGTAGGATTCGGGCAAGGACTATGCATTGGAGCAGCAGAAGAGAGTACTCGTCGCTGTAGCACCAAGCATCTTCTTCTTGTTCTTATTGTTATTACTCTTATTCTACTTATTCTTACTACTATGATTTTTTAGTAGTAGCAGCGGCAGTATAGTGTTAACTTCACACTTCGCGCTTATGGTCAAGGGTTTGTGAACAAACGCTTTAGAGGACGATGCGCATGGACAGCTCTGGTAGAGTGGCAAACTTGGTGCAACAAAGCTTTAGACTCAGGACAATCAACACGAAAAATTGAAACACAAAACACTGCCCATTGCTCAGCCATCAGCTCATGCGAGCAGTATGTTTCCTTTATAATCTTCGGGTACCGCATAATAGTCAACAACAAGTGCTCGAAAATAGGCGAAATATGTGGAGCTGCTTGGTGACAGACATTGTAAGCTTCACTTACACCAGATTGCAATCTCTGTTGACACTCCAAGCCTTAGGTATTCCTAGGCCTGGACTTCTCCACTCTAAGCCCTCAACCCTATCATCCCCTATATGGGCTATAGTCTAAATGCCTTCAAGGGGTTATGTAAGGGATCATCTAGGGGACTACTATAGGGGCCATTAAGGGGCATACTAGGAATTTAGACTATAGCCCAAATCATCTCTGTCCCTACAGGACTGTAGGCGCCTTTAAGTCCTGATCAGGAATGTAGATCTGGAAGGGGGTCTTGTCCTCCTCCACCGCAGGAGAGGGTCAATCAAAAAGCTTGATGGGGCAACTATCAAAAGGTTCAAAACCTGGGAGGAAGGAAGGCGGAGTATAGGAAATAAGCCTGTATATAGAATTGTATGTTCTAAGGACCCTTTAACCCACCTACCTTCATCCCACCTTGTGATCCGCCTGATACTAGAGGTGCCTGAACAAGAACCGACGTGACATTATGGTTCCAGTTTCTTTGAAAAGTCAAAATTCCAGCGTAGGATATCTGAGGTACACCACGGCATGCTACTGCTGTTATTCAGGCTTCTGGGAAGTATCCCAGACTTACGGGGGGTCGGTAAGCCACAGAGAAATGAAACACTTCGTGTACTTACTTGTTTATAAGAATTGCCAGGTGGCAAATGTTGTGCTTGGTATGCCCGCATGCCCTAGACCATTCCTTCCGTGAAGCTACTTGTCCATTGTCATGTTGGGGTCTACACAATTAGTTAGCATATGGTCATGCGGGATGTTAAACTATATTTCTAAGTGTTGCTAGGCAGGATTACTGGCAAGCATACAGGCTTCAGTCAGTAACCAGGCTTATCACATACTGTAAGAATTTCTAGCACACCTAAGACCTGCATGGCTACAACCCTAAACCCTAAACCCTTAACCCTTACCCTGACGTCTCCACTACATCCCTAAACCCTAAACCCTAAACCCTTAACCCTTACCCTGAAGTCTCCAATCCACTTTTGGAGGCTCTCAGAATCGACTATGCCATGATCTGACACAAGACTGTTGGATATCATAATACTTTCTGAAAATATAATAGGTTACTATATTGGGGTTATATAGGGATAATGGAAAATAACATGGAAACTACTATAATAGGTTACTATATTGGGGTTACATGCCCCTCATGTCTGCTGCGGTGCAAATGCAGGTAAGCAGCCATTCCTCTTGAAGCTCCTCTACTTGAGTTTGCTCCAACGATTCATCCGCCGACTCATCTACTTGGGTCTGCTCCAACAACTCGTCCGCCGACTCATCCACCGATTTATCCACACCTGACACTACGTCTGTCAGGAGTCTGCCCGCCAAATGTGTCAAAGTGGCATTCCCTGTACTCCCTTGCAAATTGAGAAGACACGAGTGGTTGCTGGGGCTTGCGGTTGCAACTGAAAGCTCGATGAACTTAGCGGGAGCTCATTCAGACATTGAATGGAGGTGCTCAGGCGCTGGGGGTCCGACCTTCTGGATCAGTTTCTGCTCCACTATATTCGACTATTCTCCGACTCACCATCTCAAACATGCATGAACAGCAAAAGAGGGTTTGCTTGATGCACGCATGGCTCCACCTTCTGCTGCATCAGCTGCTCCCAGTGAGACCTCCCTGATGGTGACTTCAACATAGTCTCCGGCCTGCAGGGCCTGATCCAGCAAGCAAGCTTCGGTGTTGCTGCAGGTGATTCGTTTTGGCAACGCTTGTTTTCTGGTGGTGGAAGCATGTAAGATGAGTCGTTATGTAAGTGAAGGCGTAGAAAATACTACAACCAAAAGGCAAAGACGATCCTACTCCAAATGCTGAAAAGTGCAACTTACATGCTCCAGTAACTTCAGTACCTTTGACATTTGATGGCTGCTTGCCTCAGACATGGAAAGCTTCCGAACAGGACAGATCAGCAAACAACAAAGCCTCTGAATTGAAGATCTGCACTTACATCGGGTCTCAAGATGGTCACATTGGGGGCCCATTGGGAAGTATACATACATATACGTATACTTGCAAGCAGCAGACAGGCACAGTAATATTCCTGAAGAAGGAATGCACTCCCTTAGAATCATGTTTTCAAAGCTCTGTCCTCTTTGGCCTCGCGCGGAGTCCTTGGCAGGAGCTTGCATGCAAAGGAAGATCTTCAGCGCATTCAAAGACGTTGTGGCGGTTTATAGCAAGCTGCCCTAAGGCACGCCCAAGGTAGTTGGAGCCCCCACGTTTGGCAAAGATGCCAAATTTGCATCCGGGGAAGCGGTCCCCTGCAGAGTGAGTATGTGACAGTTTGAGGTCCCTGCCCGTCACCATGGAAGGTGTCCACGAACAGGCGGAAATACCGCACCTGCAGAAGCCATTCACAGCAACATTTCAGCGTATCGTCAGTGGGCGTCAGGCGCCAATAGCAACGAAGGTTGCAAAAGGATTTGGTAGTTTCCCTAAATAAGGGGGCCCCAATATAGTAAGGGTACCCCTAATTTTGGGAAACCGCTATTTCAGAATTGCCAGCCTCCCCAAGCTTGTCGGCCTCTGTTGCCCCGCCTTCTTTGAGAACCTTGGGAGGCGTCTGGTCAACGCATCTTGTGCCAATGGAGCGACAACAGCAAACTAGTAAGATGGAAAATCCTAACTCCTAAGCCCCAAACCCTATAGATCTCCATATATCCCTATATATCCCAATAACCCGAGCTACCCCATTATACTCCTCATAGATCGCGAAAAAAAACAAACTTTTCAAGGGTCCCAGAAGACGAGCAGCAGGAGCTGCCGCCACCTCAAGCCTCAGCTGAAGCAGAAGCAGGTAATGAAGGAGGGTTTAGGGTTTAGGGTTTTAGGGTTTAGGGTTTAAGGGTTTAGGGTTTAGGGTTTTAGGGTTTAGGGTTTAGGGTTTAGGACCACGTTTTTATGTAGGGATAATGGAAAAGAAAATGGAAACTACTATAGTATATAGGGTTATATAGGGACTATATTGGGGTTATATTGGGATAATGGAAAATGAAATGGAAGCTACTATAGTATTTAGGGGTTATAT